CTCCTCTGAATGCAGGCCTTTGACCTTAAATATGTAATTTTACTTCCATTTTTATTAATAAAATACTGGCAAGATCTCACTTTGTCTGAATCAAAGGGTAAGCCAGTACTTAAAGGAAACCTTGTTGCCACAGAAGCAGCGATAGTAACTCCAAGTCACACTCTTCTTTGAGTCAGTGCCATCAGCTTCATGGTATTTTCGGACGTGATGTGAACTTAACGTCCTGACTGCTTGTATTTATTAAAACCAGCTTGACCTTTTCCATCATGTGGGTACTAACCCAACTGTTCCGGACAAGCTTCAGCCTCAGTAATTGCGATCTGCAGATGAGTGGGATACAGCACTTCCTGTCTTAAACTGTTACATAGTGGGCACATCTACCGAGATGTTTACTGCCCAGTAGACTAATTAGACGCACAGTAAACGTCTCAACGTCTACACATGTGCCCCTATTGGGTTAGAGTAAACCAATTTATTCTGCAGCAGGATAGTACTTGTAAATACAAGTACTATCCTGCTGCCCAGTAAAAACTCTTCAGTAGTGAACATGTAGTTGCTGGAGGGGCTGGCTGGGGCACGAGTGCTTCAGCATGGGGTCTGCCTGCTGGTTAGCCCTGCACTAAAGCTCCCTCATGTCCCAGCCAGCCCCTCCACAGCACGTTTAACCAAGGGGTGCAGCCCCAGGTTGGCAGGCTTAACCCAGTGCCCCCTGCCAGCTGGGGCTACTTCAGTCCTGTTCTTTGTGCTGCCCATGAATAAACTGCAGAGCTTATTGCTCCAGAGTTAATTGCTCTGGGGTGCATGTTCAAACAGTGCACCCAAGAGCACTAAACTGCAGCGCAATAAGCTCTGTAGCGTATTCATGTGCAGTAATAGCACGTGTAGATGCATCCAGTATGTTGTGCAACTCAGCAGTAGTTCTGTTCAGCCCTAGGAGTAGCTGAATAAGAGTAGAGGCATCTTACATCACTTCCCTGTCTCACCAAAATGTTTCAAGGCTTATTGAAACCAGAGTTCGCAAGTCAGTGCGTGCTTGCTGGCTAGAGAATCCTATAAAACTGTTAAGTAGGGAGCTGTTATAAGAAGAGTAGACAAGCCAGATTAAATAACTTGATGTAGTACCAGAAGAAGAGAATGGGAAGTGTAAGAGAGGCCACTTTACTAAAACTCCTCTCCAGAATCTCCCATCCAGCCCATTCTTTTTCTCATAACTCGAATCCTTTATTAATACAGTCTCTTTATACTTTACACACCAGCTTTCTGCAGTGGGAAATCAAGTGTCTGCTAGGGAGTGCAACGCACCCACTCCATGCGTGCTACACCTTAATAAGATGTAACCTCCCTTAACCACATGCTTGTGGTACTGCATGCGCACTAATAGCTCTGTGCTGGATGGGCTGATTGGCACCGCATTGATTAGGTGAGCCATACATTTCTGGGCCCAGTCCTTTGACAGCAACAGTGGGCCTGGTTTGTCCAGAATCCATTGCAATCACTAGTCACAAGGTGCCATTTTCTGCCAGCCTGCCCTTGTAGTTTCTGTAGGGTGAAGTCCTCTAAACAGTGATGTTCAGAGAGAACAGAAGATCTTACAGATAGTCTGTTCTTGGCATTGCATTTCATTTAAATCAAGGGCTAATGCAGCTCACATGTACTAGCACTCATCTAAAACTGCTGCAGGACCCAGCCTGCACTGCTTCCTCTACCACGGTGTAAGCAGGCTGACAATTTGACTCACGCTGGAACATTATACCTTAAGACCTGCATGCACTGACATGCATCCCACCCTGTTTGCATGCTAAGCAGGTGTAAACTCCACATTCCTGACAAGGTGCCTCTCTGACCCCGAGTTTTTCCATATCCCAGCTGCTGTCAGCTTCCCCATCCATTTCTTTATCCTCATGTGCAGAAAAAGGAAAACTCTTGCTGTTTTCACCCCAGGAGCATGAGGTGCGTGTCTGGCAGGGTTCAGTAGTTGAGTGAATCCTTCTTGTGTAAAATGTCTTGCAGGGAGTTGCTGGAAGAGAGTGGGCTGACTGTGGACACCTTGCAGAAGATGGGGCAGATCACCTTCGAGTTTGTAGGCAACTCTGAGCTCATGGAAGTCCACATCTTCCGAGCAGACAGCTTTCACGGCGAGCCAACAGAAAGCGAAGGTAGGTGCATGGGTGGAGCGGCCACACAAAGAGGACTTGTGTGCATCTCCCATTTCCTGCTGCTTAGGGAAATGGGATCCTATGCCCATAAAGGCAGCTCGTACATACCTAATTTGTCATTATCGCCTTCCCCATTCCCGTTAGTTGCGACCTCAGTACCCTTCAGCCTTTGTCATGCTACCACAGCCCAGGAGCTTCCTGCCAGGGTTTTTAGACAGGAGCTGGTGGCTAAGTCAATGTACGTTGTCTGAGCACCACTTCTCAGAATGTTATCTTCTCTGGAAATGCACTTAGCTACTCCTCAAAAGTCCCTCTGAGGAGGAAGCTGGCTGTGCAGGCCAGTGGAGTACATTGTTGGTTGTGTTTCCTCTTCTCCCCAAGGGGCTTGGAGGAAAGGGAGCAGCAAGTTCAGTTTTACCCAAACCTCTCTGTTTTCTCCCTGTTAGAAATGCGTCCTCAATGGTTTCAGCTTGATCAGATGCCTGTCAGCCACATGTGGCCAGATGATGCCTACTGGTTTCCACTGGTGCTCCACAAGAAATTGTTTCTTGGCTATTTTAAGTACCAGGACCATGACACCATCCTGGAATATACGCTGAAAGAGGTAGACAAGGTACAAGAAGAAAACAAACAAACATTCCACACTTCCCACATGGGCAACATCATTCCCCAAATTGGACAAGCGATAGAGTAATGAATTTGGACATCCCCGGTTTGCGCCGCCTTCTTGCAGTGGTGTCACCAGCTGCCCAGCAACGGAGCCGTTTCTTCCAGAGAGTTCAAGAAACACAAGAGGAAGTGAAGTGGCTTTCTTCAAAGGGAGAACAAAATACAGTCGTTTTTGTACTTTTACATTCCCTAGTTGTAGTTCATTATATTGTTGTTTGATGACTCCACTAGGTAGTTTTTTCCTTCACAGTTTACTTGTTAGTTTTTTTCCCTTTATGTTGGACTTTTTTTTAAACATTAAATTTTTTTAAGAAACAGAGTCTGGAAATAAGACTGTCCTTGAAGAACCTTTAAACTAAGCCAGAAACAGGAGGCCTAGTCACACACACATCAAGTGCTGGAGCCTACACTTGGACCACTTATTTCCCAGGTGATGGCAATGGAATTGGTACTCCTTAGTTATTTATTTCCCTATGCATCCTGGCCAGGGCTTATTCCTTCCAAATAAAGAAAACACGTAGCTTCCTCTTATTCACAGTTACATCATGAAACCCAGTGAGTCATAGTCCATGCTACTAAAGCACTTTGAGGAGGTCAGGGAGGTGTGTCACTAGTTTTTTCCCCTCTGCCTAAAATAGCTATAGGAGCTTATGGCAGTTGAGGAGACAGAGGATAGGGTAGCTGCGCAGCATTGCTCGCACCCTGTGTTTTGGCTCTTAGGCTACAAATAGATGTTGCCTCCATCCTGAGAAACATGACTCCCACAACAAAGTGCAGTCTTTCAGAAGTCCATGTCCATTGTCTTGTGACAAATCCTAAAAAGGTTCCTAGTAAAAAGTGCTAACAGTTGTCCTGAGGCAACCACATACATCAAAATAAATGTCCTGGGATTGCATCATTGAATCAATGGCAGGAAAGCAGCCTTGCATTTGGCTGTTCACTAAACTGTGATTGGAAGGGTGATGCATCTACACACCACTCCCAGAACATTTCTATTCTGGGACAAAGAGCACAGTTTGTCCCAGAACAAATGTAATGTCTGTTCTATGCCTTACTTCTCTTGGAGCTTCTGTGAACCTTCACTGCACAGTTTTTTGTACTATAATGGTCATTAACTCTCCTTCTCCAGAGTCCTTTTTGCTGGACAAAAAAAATGCTCAGCCCTAAAACAGGTATACCTCAACAGGAACTAATCACCTACAGCTGCAAGGTTCTCAACAAGCTGTCCTAAGGGGTGGTCAAGCTATGGTATCTGTGTCACAGGCAGCTTCCTGGTGTGGCATATGATAGGTGGGGAAGAGGATCAGAGTGCAGGGCCTCATTTGTGGCACACCTGCCAAAAAGATTAGCCCCCATTGCCCTATGAGGTCAGTCCCTAACCCAATATGCAGGGTAGTGAGAGTTTAATCCATGCGAGAAATGACACATCAACAACGCTTTGCTTATACAAGTTTTGTTTTGTTTTTGCATCTTACAAATACATATTTTAACATTTCAGATAGAATCTTGGAATGTAATATATAATCTGTAAACGTTTCCAGTCTACCAACTGTAGTAATAATTTCTTTAATTCCTGCAGTTTGATAAAGTGCTTCATACATAAGACTATTTGAGCAAAGCAAAGATACAAGATATTCCAGGCAGGCAGGATTCATGTCCTCCAAGCAAGCCTGCCTCTTCCTATCTCTCTCCAGCAGCTCTGAATAAGTACAGACTATTCAAAGTGCCCTTCTTTATGTACTTAGTCAGCCATGGTTAGAAGGCAGAGGATAAGAGTTGGTGCCTTACTGTCTTGCCATTCATTTTGTGTTACAAACACTTATGGAGTCTCCAGCCATCCACTTCAGCTACAGCTGCCTACACAGTGAGTGGTTTATAGGTTGGGATGGTAGTGACTAAGGTATTACACTCTGCTGGCTATTTTGTGGTCTGGGTAAGTTCAACCAGCAGTTGAACCAATTCTTATCAGAGGCCACAGACCAACTGGTCAGAGACTGAATTATCTTAGATTCTGCCTCCTAAGGCTAGGGCTGGTATACCATTATTCAGTCTTCTTTCGCTACTACTTTCTCTAGCAAGCAGTCATTTTTGTCTCTACTGCAAGTACAGACAGACATGTTTTGAATAATGAATTTCTGTCCCCAGTTGAACTGCTTCATCTTTCAGTAAAGTCCTAGTCCTGAATGTGTGATGCCAGCTTTAGAGAACCAGTAGCAACTTCCCTGCCTCATCGAGAGCTAAGAGTCAATAGTCAGGGAGAAAAGGCACTGTTCAAATGCAGTGATCATATCGGCAATTGGCAGATAAAAGGAAATAAGTATATATAGGAGCTGTGTTTTTCAAAATACCAGATGAAAAGTATTCCACCATCAGTAAAGCCTTCCTTGAGTCTGGTCAGAGTGTCATCTCTTCCCAATCTGGGCAGGAGCTAGTACCTGGCACTCCCTATCCTTCAACACCTCCAGTGAAAAGTGAGAATCTTACCCTCTTAATGTGCTTATCTACAGACCTGGCTTCTCCAAGCCCTCTGGTGTGAAGACACTTGGACTGGAAGGTTGGAGGCCTTGTTTAACAAATGACATGTTGAGTGGGTGGAAGGCCCCCTGAGGTCAGTATGTTCAGAGAAAGTTTCTATTCAGAAAGGCACATTCATTCTTTGGTGTTAGAGCTCAGAGAAGTTGTGGATCATGACTAAATAGCCACAGTCTTTTTTAACTGCTTTTCTCATGTGCTTGACGTTTATTGCAAAGTACTTGTCCATCAGCACAAGCTTCGGGAATTGGTCACTGAAACCATTACGCGAGATTGTTACTACTTCTGAGTGCTAGACATGGTCTGTTTTAGTTAGTGATAGCATAAAAGCAGTTCACTTTCAGTTCTTCACTGTAGAGGAAATAAAGTCAATTTGACTTTTCTATGCTGCACTCTCCTAGAGCAGAGAAAGGGCTACTAGATGCCATCTTTCTGAGAACTGCATTGTATGAACCAGCAAGAGAGCAAATCCTAGAGCCAGAACCCTGCCAGTAACTAAAATACCACATTGCAGTGCCTATTAGTTCTCTCAGATGGCACCATTAAGCTCTTATTCTCTTGAAAGCAGCCAAATAAATGCCACAATGTTACACTGAACAGCAACTGCAAAACTCAGCAAAGCAATGTATGCTCACCCCAGCCTTCAGGCCATCCCTCAGTGACTAGCACAAGAAGACTGCATGAATGAGTGAGTATTCTCAAGTCACTGCAATTCCAAACAAACAGTTTCTTAATACATGTTATTGGGGTTAACCTCCATAAATCTGATTATCACGCTGCATTTCAGAGGCTGTAGAGCTGCTACTTAGAGGGGGAACAGCAGAGTGCTGTTACCCTCTCACTGAACATTTATTATTCCAGCATCCAGTATGATTGTAATTTAACATATAGTCCTTCTGTTTTCAATCCTTTTATAAAGTGTGAATACAACAAATTCTTTCCCTTCAAGCTACTGCATGGCTCTGATCATCTACCTGCATTAGACAAATGATACATTTCCTCCCCTTTTGTCCCTATGATTTTTCAAATTTGATCTGCCCTTCAGCTGACCAAACAAATAAATGACTGATAGCAAGGGAAGGTGAGACTGACCAGGGCCAACCAACATATATCTTAAGGTGTTAACAGTCTATACTAGTGTTTAAAGATGTGCTAGCTGAAATGTCAGCCTGTTTACTCACAAAGGCAGGTCACGGGGCTCTTTGGAGGACATTTCTGTCTCAAGGATTGACCGACCTCCCTGATACCAAGCTAATATTTTGGAGAAGGGTTAGAAAACACGTTCTTAACACATAATTGGTAGTGCATTTGGATAGTTCTACTTAGACACACGGTTCACAAAAAGAATCAGATTTTGATGACTGCAGGATCTAAAATATATTCCATATCAACAGGAAAGATGCCCAGAATGGGGAAATTCAGTTCTAATTAGTGTTTGACTCAGATCTTTCATCCTAGTTAATGGCTTGCTTCACATGGATGAAGCAAAAAGAAATGTCAAAAGCTAAATCCAAAGCTCCCTGACAGACTATCCTTTTGGTCTGGGAGGGAGAAAGTTCAGGTCTCAAACCTCTAGGAAAAATTAGAGCCCTGGCACTAAACAGCCTGTCCGTCTCAAGTCTCTAGTTTACTTATTTATCCATAAGCCCCAGGAGATGCCCAAGACTCCTTTCCTAACCCCACCTGAAGACAGCAGCAAGGGGGGAGGATGAGAGGCTTGGGGAATGGTCCAGCCCCCTTTAAGAAGATACCTTATTAAACGCCCTGTTAATGGCAGTGTATTTGTAAACGACTCAATAAAGGGCCTGTCACTTCTATTATCTTCCCACTTCTCCACGAAGATATGACCATCATCATCGATACTGTAAGGTACCAGAAGAGTGGGTGGCAACACCTCTCGGATCAATACTGACTGTCACTGGGGACCTACGCATTCTGTCTTAGCCTGCAACCTCCAATTATTAGTAGCTTTTGGGCTCCAGGAACAGCAGTCCTCTAAAACTGCCAGTATGCAAGAGGCACCACTGAATGGATGCCAGCCCACCCCAAGAGAGTAATATCCACCAACAGCTGCCCCTCATCCAACCTACAAAAAGAGTTTTCCCCTACTAAGGAGTGTGTCAGCATTTAAACCAGTTGTCCTTCTGCGTAGCAGTTCGATTCTCTTGGAAAACTGGCTAAAAGACTGGCTGAACAGCAGCCTGTCACACATGAGGAAGCACTGCCCAATGCCCTCCTGTGAGACCCCCTCCTACTTCCATCCAGTATTTAGCCTCCCCCCAACCCCCCCAAACCAACAAACAACCCCAAACTAAATGCAGCACGCTGACCCCTACCACTGAGCAAGGCTGGGATCACCATCCAGGAGCTTTCATGCATTTGGATCAAGCAAGAAGGAAAATCAAATGCCTATGAATGGCCCAGGGGCCTAGCCTTCAGCTCTCCTCCAAAGGCCACTAGACTTGGGCCCTACTCAGAAGAGTGAATTTTACACGTGGATTCTCCACACATCCTGTGCATAAAAATCGGCAGCCCGAAGGTTTACCAGCACGTGCAGATGTGTACTGCAGGAGGCTAGTTAGTAGGAGAAGCACAGGACAACTACAACAGAAGACCTGCAGTGCTCAGTATATCAGGACATTTCCCATCCTCAGGGAAAGGGATGCTGGGGGAAATGAATTTCAGCCCTGCTCCAAAGCACTTCAAAAATAGAACATAAGATTAAGATACTGTCTTTTTCTCTGTATATGCTGCCCTGTTTCCAGTCCATCTAATCCAAAGAGCAGCTTGAAGCAGCAATATTAAAAAAAAAAAAAAAATAGCTGTTTGGAGGAATCTTTTAAAGATCTGAAGATAGAGGAGCAGGGTGACCACTGACTGCACTTCACCTTCTTCCATGCAATTCTGAGAATTAGCTAGAAAATAAATTGTCCTCTGGGGATGATAATGGGGGTGCCGGCACATTGGTGGGTCCTACAAGGAGGCAGCTCAACTTCGGCTTCAGTTCATTCCAAACTTTACTCATCTAGAGAGGAAAAAAAGAAAAGAAAAAAGAAAAACAGAACGGGACATGGGTCACTATCACATGGCACACTGAAGAAACTGCTAGTCACAGTGCTGAAATTATGTTTCAGGTTGTTCAAAAGTCAAAAGCATTTGCAAAGCCATTACAAAGGAAAAAAACAGCAGGGCCAGGACACTCATCCACACACATCCATCAGACCAATGTATTAACACAAACTCTCCATGCTTTACTTTTTACATCTTTATTGAGGCAGGAAAAAGATGTCCTAAGCCTTTCAATGAAACACTCTCTCTCAATGCAAATGCTTTTAGAAAGCAATATATAGATACAAGTTCATACATGGAAAATGCTAAACAATGCATTTCAACAGATAAGGCAACCTATGAGATTTTCTTTCTTGCCTTATGATTTGTTTTAACAAGCAGTCAACAGAAGTTCCAGGTTACAAACACAATCCATCCAAAGAGAAAAGCTTAGGGTGCCTTTACCTTGCTTTTATCAGGGGAGGAGGTTTGTTTTGTGAGTTATACATTTGGAAATAAAAGAAAAAAAATTAAATAAAATAACTGAGCCCTAAGGCAATGAGTTTGATCCAAGCTCTGGGGGTGGTGTCATTCCTCCCTGGGCTGGAAAGAGGCCAGTCACCTACTTCCCCCAGGTTTGTCAGCACTCCCTCAAATAGAAGAGCTGTGAAGGAAAAGGGAGGATGGGACATGGGCTAAAGGGAAAAAAGGAAGTTCAAAGACTTATCTGCATTTGGAGGGGAGGACACAGGGAAAGGGTACAGGACAAGTAGTTTCCAACTACTCCATTGGTCTAATAAAGGATCTCACATCTACCCAACGAACCTTGCCTGTCACAGGACAAGATAAGAACTCACCTCTTTATGGCCCTGGATCTGGGAGTTGACAAATGCCCCCAGGATATGAGAGGTGAGAGGCAAGTAGATATGGATCAGCTGCGTCTCCTGGTGCAGGCAGTACAAAGAAAAGTAATTGCGCAGTTCCATGGTCAGGATGGCATTTTCTTGCTGAAAGAAGAGCAAGCCAATCAGTTATGCAACTAGGACAGGTAAAGCAGGTGATAATGCAGCACTCCCAGTTCTCTTCAGGCCCACAGGGGAACTTTTCAGCATAGCGCCCATTCTGAAAGCACCACCAAGCCATGTAATGGCACCACCAAAAAGAGGCTTCCATCCTGCCCATGTGCCACCCATCCTGCCCCACACCCTCCCCACCTCTACAATACGCGACTCCAGCTGTTCCACGGACTCTGGCTCCTTGTTCTGCACGGTAGCGCTCATCATCTGCTTCTTCATCATGCTGTACTTGTGCAAGGCTCGCTGGTGCTTGTGCAGGACTCCCTTCTCATGCCTCTCACACAGATCCTTCATGGGAAAGGGAACAGACAGGTACTCACTGACCTCTGGATGTAGGGTAGGGAGCTATGGCAGATGGATATATAGGAGGCAGCAGAGGACAGGGACACAGCTGAAGTCTGTGAAGCGAGCCCTGCAGCTTCAATAGTAGACAATTCCCTCCCCCCTCCAACAAAAAAACTGAGAAGCTCAAGCACCAACACTCATGAACACAAAACCCAGGACCACTCCAAGTCAAAAGACAAAGCTCTAACAGGTGGTCTGGAGTCTCATCTCTTCCATGTGCTTGATCTTTCCCAGTTTTCCTATCTACATGTCTCTTTCTAGTGCTGAATGTTGCCAATTTAACTTCAGCATCGGTGGAGGGACCTTGTTGCTCCAGTCCCAGACCAGGCGCCTCCTCAGCATGGCTATCAGCCTTTCCTGAACTTCACCTAGGTGCATTTTTAACAGGTGTTCATGAAAGTGGTGGTGCAGGACAAAACTTAATTTCATTTTTAACTGGACTGGGTCTCCTCATGCAAAGGCCTTGCCAACCAATTCCTTCTCTTCCCTTGACCCCAAGAGAGCCAATTTTGGAAGCAAGTTAACCGAGTTATGCAAGGAAAGCAGATGGTATTTTCAACTCCTTGCATGGTCTGGCAACACCCAGCCATGAGAGAAGAGCCGATCAGTAATGCTGTAGAGCTCACCAAGGGTGACAGCCACTCCCCTCCCTCTGCATCATGCCCAGTTTGCTGCTAAGCTGCCTTTCCAGATACTTTTTTTTTCCATTCACTTGGCATGGCATCCTCTAAAGAGAACAGGCTTGCTCTAAACAACTCTCTCACTGGCACAGGAACAGCAGAACTCACTTTATAGGACTGGAGTAAATCCAGGAAAAGGTTCAGCTTCTCCACCACATCATTCTCTTCCTGTTTACCCTAGAAAACAAGGGACAAAAATATTTCACAAATCTGGTAGGAGCCCACATCACCTGCACACTGTGCCCTAAAGATCTCTGCAGAGGGGCCACAGTAGTTGTTACACTCCCACTGCAGAAGCCGAGATGCTGGAGCTGGTAAGGAGCATAAATAAAGATCTGCCTGGAGCGAGAACAGCATTCCAATTAGCCGATTGCTGCAACAGGCAGTTTAGCATCATGAGCTCACTCTGCCCAAAATGCCAGTTCTGGCAGACTCCCTTAGGCTTTAGTCTTCCCTCCTTAAGACATCCCTCTCAAAGGAGGCCTAAACTCCTGCTCCCTTCCACCCACCTTAGAAGAGTTCTTGAAATAGGAAGTAGAGTATGCATGACCCAAGCTGGATTTCACCACTTACTGCTGGTCCCTGCATCAGTATGGCTCTTCAGAAAGTCACTTCTGGAGGTAGGGTCCTGGTCTGGACCTAGCACACTAAGCACCATAAAGTGGTGGCTGTAGCAAAAATAGGACATTACTGTCCCCTACGGACCATCAAGTTCTCACGTTCTGATAGCTGTTAGCACATGGTGCCCTTACAACAGCAATATCTCATGGCTTCTGCCTGAATAAGTTTCGTGTGGCATTTAAACAGGCTACAAAAGGTCAAACTTGATAAAGAAGCAGATTCAGCTGGACTCCATCTGGCTGGTGATCTTAGGCAAGCAAAGTGCAGGACTCTTGGACAGATCAGCCCACAGCACTATTTACCTTGTTCTTGACACCTTTTTGTCAAGGATTTTCCCTGTCCCTGCTAACTTTACTTTGAAGCTGTACAGGCCTCAGGCCACAGCCAGGTCACACTGCCAGCGCACTTGTTCAGACTGGTCTAGTGAGAATACTGGGAAGTGTTTAGGCAAGAACAGGGGTGTGATTTCTGAGTACCCATCTGAGAAGGCTCTTGATTCAAGAGGCAAGCATGCATGTGTCAGGATGCCAGACACGGGAGAAGCCACTGGTAGGGGAACTCACCTGCTGTGCAGCTTTATCAGCCAGCAGTGCAAATTCAACAGACAGGCCTTTCAAGGCCTGTTTCAGAGTCCCCCATGTACTGTTGTTCAGAGCAGCCCAGGAAGGGAGTGGCGTAGTATCCGAGCCCAATGCACTGAGAAGAGAGAAGAGGTAGTTAAACACTAGCAGTCATATCCCAGTCAGCACACCCATCTCAGCAGCTACTAACGAGTACCCCCTAGCTCCCCAAATCTCACTAGCAGGCTACAGCTGAAGTAGAGTCCCTCTGGAGTCAGGCTGCAAGAAGTCTGTAGCTGGTCCCCAGGAAGGGTCCAGTTAGCAGTGGATTGCAGTGACAGCCATTCAACAGGTCTGTGTGGAAGACAAACTGCACTAGCAAACAGCTTCAGTGTTTTCTGCTTAAAGACTAGGCAGAATGTGCGAACAGGCACATCCCATAGAAGGATCTATGAATGGGTGTCTTAAGCACATACACACTGGTGTGGACACACTAGGGACTGCAGCATTTCACTCGAGCATAAATCAATGCCAGAAATGTCAACACACTGGCATTTTGCTTCCCCTGCCCTGAGGAACCTACCTTCTGTTTTCTTCCCCTGCACCATGTAAAGAAACAATTGTTTGTTCCCCATGGAACAAACCATGGGGAACAAACTGTCAGGTAAGCCTATCACTCATTAAAAAACAGAAGTGTCTTGTACGAGTCCTCTCCCTGCAGCCTACCTTAGTTCTTTTCCAAATATGAGAAGATCTGAAGCATTATCAATAGCCCGGGAGGCTATTCGCTCAGCACGGTCCCGCAGTTTATAGAAGCTGTTGTAAATATTTCTGATAAGCTCCCTACTGGCAGCAAACTGGGCCTGGATGTCAGCTGGGAGGAAGTCCTGAGACAGCACAGGAGAGATTACTAATGGACTCAGTAACATAAACAGCAAGTCACAAAGGGAGATTAGAAGTCAGGGAGCAGATTAGGGAGACTCTGAATCCTGTTACACCCAGCAAAGAGGCTTTTTTGGGGGGGCTTTTTTTAAGGAGAGAAAAAACACACGGCATTATGGGGTTTGGGGTCTGTTCCTGAAGACCTGAGCAGGAGTTGCTAACTGCCAGCCCTGAGAAAGAACTCAGCCAGATACCGAAGGCTCAGCTGGACTTCTTCTGGCTCATGCATCAGTGAGAGTTTGGACAACTGGGACTTAGAAATGTCAGTGGTGCTGCATGAATCCAAGTAAGATCCAACTTATTCTCCAGTAACTTTGCAAAGCAAACAGCGAAGAGCAGGACAAATAGAAAATGGTCTCTAGCATTAACCCACAGGAGTGGCCTGCCTGGGAGTGACATAAAAGTAAAAATGTACTAATACCTCACTCTTATATAGCACACCCCGTAAGTAAGACTCAAAGCACTTTGCAAAGACAATATCATCCCAATGTTACAGAAGGGGAAACTGAAGGACAAAGCAGAAACATAACTTGCCCATTACTTCCAACACAGTAGTGACTAAAAGTCCTGGTTTTGGACCAGGACTCCACTATGCTAGATGACAGAAAAGCATTTTTTAAAGCAGCTTGTGATCAATTTAGTCATTGTCTGGTCTCTCTTCCTTCATCCCAGGCATACTTTTACCAAAGAAAAAAGCAGGCAATTTGGAAGATAAATGCTATCAGAAAATAAGAAAGAAATCAGCTGCTTGCAGCCAACATAGAAGGAAGCAAGATTCATAATTTTTCTCAGAAAGAAAGAGCAATATGGCAACACAGAGGGGCTAGGGGAAAGACCAATCAAGTGTAGGTCATGAATTTAATACTTTAAGAACATGCACTTGGATAAACTTTCTTGCTTACCACTTGTATGCTATTCTAGCAGGCTGGAAAGTACAAGCCAGGAAATCGTCATATATTTATAATTTTTTTTACATGAAAGAGAAGAGTAAGTCAGCTTCCTTTAAATGGCTCCTTTTCCTCTCTTTAGCTGAAGTCCCCCTCTCCCCCCGCAATCTTTTACCCAACATACGCAAAAATCATGTGCACACACACAGGCAGGAGACATTGAAGTACTAATTAGACATTATAAAGGAAAATACCTTAGCCCGGGTCGCTAGTTTGCAAGTCATGAATTCATCTCCAAGTCCCTGGACCAACTCCCTCAGCTTGTTCTGCACATCCTAAAAAAGCACAACCAAACAAGCATTAAATGAATGTAAATACATCTGGTTATACATCCCAATTGCTTGTGGACATGCTCCGTGTGAATAACTGCAATGTGTAGGCAGTGTCAAGCTAGCTGGAACCACGAGTAGTGCTGCCACAGGAAAGAGCATTATTTTTCAAAGACTCTGCCCAGAGCATTGCAACATTCCCCAAAAGATATAACATCTCTGCAGCAGCAGAGATATCCAATAGGAAGGAAATGCTCCACTAGTCCTCGTGACTAGGACAATGCTGGGGATGACAAGCGTACAGGCAAAAGCAGCTCTGAGAATCTGCAACAGGAGATGTGCAAACACAAAATACCGCTATTGAGAACTCACTGAGCCACTGAAGGAGAGGAACAGCTTCAGGAGCACATCTTCTGAGAAGGGAGGATGCCGAGCCACCAGGTTGATGAACCGCTTCAGAGCCCTCCGCCTGGACTCTATGAATTCTCGGTCGGCTACAGGAGGGAACACTGGGTTAGAGTGAATGCACCACGTATTACAACTACTCAGAAGGAGAGAAAGGCAGAATCAAGTTCAATCGCTCCCTTGCACAGACAGTGCTGAAGCACCACCCAGGAAAGATCCATGAACAATCTGCTGGGTCCACTATTGATTATCAAAATAGCTCAATGCCCACACCCTTTAAATGGTGTGTTACACCTCATTGTAATGACAATTCAACAGATGCTTCCACAAAAGACAACATTTCAAACAGGGTAACTTGACTGAATAAAGTTAACTATACCTAAATTCACAGGATTGGGTCTTTAGAGTACGAGCTATGAGAGAGACAGGGAATTTCTCTGCCTTTGTGCTTATGCTGGATACAGGACATGTGTTGGGGGTCTTGGGTATGAATGCAACACAGATTAGAAAGTAGTAATTACAAACCATATAATCAACTCAAAAGGAATCATCCCATACCTTAGAAGGATGAAATGCAAAGCAAAAATAAGTGTTTGTGCTCTTCTTTGCTCCTTTACGTTGTGAAAAGGAAACTTCACACATTTTTACCCCAGAAACCCTGCTCCCACACTCTGGATTTAAGATTGGTTTCCTCTCTCCTTCATGCAAGACATCTAGGAGGAGCTGGACAGCAACCTGCAGTGGGCTAACCCCTTACTTACACCACTCATAGGTCCTACTTGTCAGCTAGAAGTTAGATTCTTCCTCTTTCAGGGAGGATGGGGGGGCTGAGATTTTAGCTTACTGATTAATTAATTCAGGAGATCTCAGCAAATTCTTTCAAGAAAAAGTGAACCTGATATTTCTGAAGTTAGAAAGCAGCCCAGGAACTGTCCATGGTTACATTTTTACATCACAGAGGTGCAGTAAAAGGCATCCATCTTTTGCATCGTATTTCACCCTACCTTGGGAGTTTGCTGGCTATCCAGGCAATTCCCTAAAGGGCTACCCAACAGGCATGAGGATCAAACATTTTCCACTGTGGCCTGTCTTGCTCTTTAGCCTGTAACATTCCCGGATCCCCAGCACACCATTCTTTAGGGTTGTCTAGTTAGACCAGTGGCCCTGAACCTTGTTAGACTCAAGAAACCCTTCAGAAAACACCAGCTCTTAGATGTCACTCCTTGGACTATGGAACGAACATAGAGCAATTATTCTGTTGCAAAGAACCGAGAGAGACCACAACGGGTCAGAATGTTGTTAACACTAAGGATTCCCCTTTGACATTTCCTGAGAGCCATGTGTAGGTGTTCATACATCTAACAATGCTAATATTGCACAACAACCTGCATCCCCCTAAAGAGAATTTCACAGCATCCTAGTTGAAAATCACTGAGCTAGACGGCACTGGTCTGCTCTATCAGGTCAAAGAACACCACTTTTAACTAGACAAGTCACCTTTGCCCAGCCGGTGGATGAAGACACAGCTGGGTTAGGGTACAATCTGCGACTGGGCCCTAGGGTTATTAGGCTATGGGTTAGGGAAGAAGTGAGACATGTCCACACTTCCCTCTAAAACACTGTGGTCTGCTATTTTATCAATGTAATTAGAAACATGAACAACTCGTGTATGCTGCCACAGGAAAGAGCATTATTTTTCCCCCCAAGACACTGCCCGCAGTATTGCAACATCCCCCAAAAGATATAACAATATCTCTGCAGCAGCAGAGATATCCAATAGGAAGGAAATGCTCCACTAGTCCTCGTGACTAAGACAATGCTGGGGATGACAAGCACACGAGCAAAAGCAGCTCTGGGAATCTGCAACAGGAGATGTGCAAACACAAAACACTGTGCAAACTTTCCTGGGTGGTGCTTCTGGGGCAGGGGGAAGGAGAGGGGGGTCTATTATTATTTTTAATTTAATGCCAACTCTTCAGCTGCTCTATAAAAGTCACTGGGTAAGGACACGGGCCATTTCTGGCTCACTCATCCTGCTGCTGCTCCTGCCTCCTTTCTTAAGGGCACTCAGAGCCACGGATCAATCTGAGAGAAGGGAGATGTAGAAACAACAACAACAACCTTCCGCCAGGAGATCTCAAACTACAGAACAGTCCCATTTTAAATTGGGGATAATCTACAGTAGTAACATGGGAACGGACAAAAAGATTGGGGTCTTGCAACCCTAACTTCTTCAACTTCTGACCTCACTGGTTAAATCTTACATCTATAAATATATAAGAAAAAGAATCAGTGATAAAATAGCATCATCACTTAACATTACCAGTGTGAGTTACTAGGTTTCAGAGTCAAGTCTCCACCAAAATAAACCAAAGCAGGTCATTTTTCTTACCAGAATGATTTTCAACTCTCAGTCTGTAAATTCTTGCAGAGAGCACTGCTCTCTTGGAAACCTGAAGAGCAAGATTTAAAAAAAAAAAAAGGGCGCACACCTCTAGCATCTTGCATTCTCCAATTAGAAGAGAAGCTATCAGAGACACTCCAGCAGGCATGCTGGCCAGGTCTGATTCACTAAAACCCTCTACTCCTGCGCCCTTCGCCATTTCTTTTCCATGACATAAGATATAGATTTCTCTCAAGGAGTCTAATTCATTGTGAAGCATTTTGCTTAGCAATATGGATACAAGACAAGACAGCAAAAGGCTTGTTTCTGCTTTATCTGCTGAAGAACAAGACTCAATTGGGGGGAAAAAAAAATCCACTGTTTTCTCATATTTTTAACAACAAGAATTTAACACTGCATCAATATTTCAGATTACAGAAAAAAGTTATCCAAAGCAGCTTTGATGTGCACTCTGTCTTGGGATACTTCACTGGTTTCATACTCTAATGGTTACTATGTACTTGAACAAACTAATATTCTGGTTCAAATATCATCTCTCATCTTTTGTAGTTTCTGGTTTGAATGGAAGACCAACAAGCTGCTTTTAAGGAAGAGCAAAAGGATAAAAGAGACTACCCCCAGGATAGCTGATCTCAGTAAAGCAGAAAAAAAAAGTGTTTCTGACGGGGCTTTTTTTTTTCCCCCCCATAGCCAGCTACAAATGTGTCATACATCCAGGCCCTGAAAGGACACCGTAATATTCAGAGACCCAGCAAAGCCATCTACGTCAAGACTCTACACTTGTTTGACTTATTTACACTGAAGGTCACAAGTCTGAATACAGAACTGGAATAAGACGGGCTCTGGGGGGTGATATGGAGGGGGGAAAATGTCAAAAATTGTCTGTATACTCATTTCTTCTGGAGTGCATAAACCTTTTAATATAAAAATAAATCTCTCTCCACTTCCCAGTTTTCCTGCCACAGGAGAGAGATACAGGGTTTCTAAAGCTCCTTTCATATTCAGAGCACATAAGAAAACAATGTGCTACAGCACACACTAAACCAGTTCAATGGTACAGTAGCCACACTCGGGGTCTGTCAACACCATGGGATTTGACTGGGTAAAAACCCTATTCTTCTCTAGGGCTATCTATAACTCTTTTTAGAAAGGCCTCAGAATACTTAACTTGCACTTGGAGAATCACCATTAAGACTTAATGGCGATTCTCCAAGTGCAGGTTATATATTAAAAGGTCTTATTATTCTTAAGGTCTTATCTTATTTCCCACAGTGCAATACTGTACCCTTCCCTCTGCTCCCCTTCATCTACACCACAGTGCAAGTACTGCTTTACAACCCGAGTAGAAGAGGCAAATACAGTGGTCTTTTCCAGGTGTCACCATACCCTACAGAGTCAGCAAGACATTGCATTATTTACCTCCCAGCATTCTCTTCGGTGGAAGTGCCGGAACCATACGATACGGAAATTTCTGAAGCAGCATCTCATGAAACACGACAAAGTCATTGTATCGCCTGTACACCGAGCATTTGAAGCGCTGCAAGAGAAGAAAAAATACACATGCTCAGAACAGCAGCAGCATTTCAGCAATTCCTTTGCACCTCGCCACGCTAAATGCAAGCCTGATTACATCCAGGGCAGCTAGTACAGTTCTTGGGTTAGCAGGCCACTTACTGCAAGCAAACAGGGGATGGGGAGAAATCAAAAAGCCAGCTCTCCGTCACAAGCAGGGATGTATCTTAACTGACTGCCTATCTTGCTGGTGGACTAGGTCCAGTACCAAAACAAGCAGCACTGAGGTCAGCCCAGTGAGTTATGTGAGGGCATAAGGAGCCAGCAGGAGCAGCTGTGGGATTTATGAAAAGTATTGAAGTTCTTTACTTCAGTTCCCAGATTTTTGCATTTCTGATGTAAAGTTACAGGAATGAAAAATGAGAATACCTGGTTTGAGTCATTCAGGTCTAAAATGCCTGAGGCAGCAGATAAGAGAAAGGATGCACATAAATCTGAAAACCCCACCTGAGTAACGCAGTAGCAAGTCAAAAGGACTGGCTGTCCCCCTACTCATCCAGACTCCGTTGGCTTTGAGCATCACCAGCACTCATTGGAGGTACTGGGTGATTTCTAGGGCTGTGCAAAACACCATCATTTTGTTTCAGCACCATTTTGTTTCAGCATCTGTTTTGCCATTTCAAAAGGACAGTGTTTCATTTAGTTTTGAAGCACTGTCCTGTTTCATTTCGTCAAAACTGTTTCGCTGTTTCACCCATAGGCTATAATGGGGGATCATGAAAATGCTAAAAACATTGTCATTTGTTGCCTGATTCAGATACCAATTGCAGGGATGTCCCTTCTGCCAAGTTTCTAGGAGATAGGTGCAGAGGTTTCTCAAACTGCACCTCGAAGTCTTGAAAGCAAAATTTGCCAGCAGTGGCAGCCTCCTGTCGTCCGACATGCAGATCTGGGGGCTTGCACCCCCGGGAGGGCTGCGGGGCTGTACCGGATGACAAGAAGCTGCTGCCTGGGACCGGTGCTGGGCACAGCCCACGCCCATAACAGGGTCCATGGAGCTCAGCCCAGCGGGGGGAGGTAGAGCGTAGCCCTGGCTCTGCCCGCCTCTTGCCACTGGACTGCACTTCGATTGGCTGCGCCAGCCCCATGGAGTTCAGCCCGGCGGCGGGAGGGCTGCGCTCCCCACTGGGCAGAGCTACTTGGAGCTGTGAAGCTACTTGGAGCACTCTCCCCTGCCTCCCACCACTGGGTTGCTTTGAAACTCAAAACATTTTGAGTGCCCTCATTTCATTTCAAAGCTGTTTCGGTGCTTTTTGTTTCGTGTCGATTTTGCCGTTTCGAGCTTGAAACAGCTTCAAAAGAAAAACTTGGCGAAATTTCGCACAGCCCTAATAATTTCCCAAAGTTGCACAATGAGGCAAACAACTGGAGAACAAGTGACACAGCCCTGAGGGGCTCCCATATTCTGCTCTGTAGCCAGTATAGATTTGCTCTTGCAGGTGTCAGCAGCGGCCCAAAGCCGAGCCATGCCTTTGTCAGAAGGAGGAATGACAGCTCAGGAGCTGCCAGACTCTGACAGATTGCACACCAGCAATTTAAAACAATACAACCTTACATACCACCGGCAAATATTTTCAGTTCAACCTTAAGTACCACCAGCAAATTTTTGTCATATATTTTACTTGTATTAAATCTGTTAATGCATAACCACTGACAGGTAGTCTGTGTACTACTGGTGGTACCTGTACCACAGATTGGGAACTGCTGGGCTAGAGCAGTGTTTCTCAACCCATGGGTGCTGACCCAAAAGTGGGTTGCAAGAATATACGAAAGGGTGGTGAACAAACTTTAAAAATGGATTCTCCTTAAAAAGGAGAAAAACGTGGGAAACTGTGGGTTTTCCCTTGCAGGCTGGCAGAGGTCCAGCTCGGGTCCACCCCACCTGCACTCTGTGGGGCTGGGGGTGGGGGACAGCACATCGGGCGTGAGGGGCACTAGGTCAAAACTGGCCATCAATGTTTACAAATGGGTCCTGGTACAAAAAAGATTGAGAACCACTGGGCTAGAGAACCACTCACACCTGTAGGCTGAAAAGGCGATTCTGACTAAGGACATGAGTGACAAAAACCCATTCCCACAGTATCTGACAACTGATCTGTAGTATCCTGTGTGAAGTATATCAGGAACTCAATAGACACCGGTGAGTAATCTTCTTTACACTTCCACAAAGGAGACAAAAAATCCTAATAATTCTCCTCTTGGCCCAAAGCGGGCCTTGTAGGTCAAGACTGGTGTAACTTAAACGGCATTCATCCAGGAAATGACAGGGGAGGAGAACCTGCAGAGATGCCAATTGTGCTGCACCTATTCCTCGTCATACCTAGTCTTGTCAACTCAGTCTCTTCCGTGAGCTCTTAACACATCTGAAATACTGAGCTAATGCAGACTACTGCTTATTACACACTTCCACTTCTAAACACCTGCACTGATACTCAGTTCAGACTTCAGGTGAGTTCAGTCATTATGGTCTAATGTACAGTTTGTCCACCTACTTAGCAAAGCCACCATCTCAGCCCCAGTTAGAGCAATGCCCAGTACAGGAAAGGTACAGTTTTGTCTCTGCAGTTGAACAGACTGGCACAACTGGATCCAGGACTCATCCTTTGCTCATCTAGTCTGCCAGACTGGCTAGTCACCTGCCTTTCAACACAGGTTACAATTGCATGGAAGCTCCCTAGAAAACGTAATCTCCCACAAACCAGGGACCACTCACATTACCTTGCTGGAAACCTCATACTCCACATGTTTCAGAAACAGGCCCTTCTTCTCCGGTATAAGCTCCACCTGCACGATGTCTTTACTCAACAGCTCTTGTAGGGTGTGGGAGAGCATTAGCGGGTTCCCTGGGGGTGTCTGCATGAGAAGCTGCTCCAGTTCCCTTGGCTCGCTGACTGGAGGAGTTGTCAACTCTAGAAGAACAAAAATTGCAGATTTTGAGAGAAAAATATCCAGTAAAGCCTTGAAGGATTTCTGCTCCCTTTGCTCCGTGCGCACTACCTTAGCACAAGGCAGAAGAGCAGCCAAGACACTCCTCTTGCAAGAGGCTGTGCCCATACTACCACCCACGTGTTAACACGCTCGGTACTTCCCAGGAGCGTTACCAATTATACCCAGTCAAGAAGCTAGCGCCTCTTCTGCCAACAGGCCAAATTTGCTCTGTGAATCAGCTAAGAAGCCTGTATTTCCTGTCTGTCCTGCTCCCACCACAGCACAATCTGCCAAACTAAGTGAATCCCTAAGCTCAGCACTTTTAGATCCTGCCTAGGACAACTTGTGAAATGGAAGGAACCGTGTTATTTTAACAGCAGTGCAGGAATTTCATACTTTAACTTCACACGTTATTAAAAAAGCATGAAGAAGCCACTTCAGCTAGCTGGGTTTTATTAGCTTCTGTGAGGGGGTGCCAGGGTGTGCAGGACTTAATTAGCTACCTTAATTTTAGCACCTTATTAGCGTGTTGCCTTTGCAGACAAAAGGGTTCTGATTAGGGCGGCCAGGCGGACACTTTTCGACTCCCAGCAAGTCCTGGAAAAGCCTCCAACTTCCCATATTCAGATTGCACAACTTTCCAGTTGAGTCAGCCCCCCCAAGCTATGCAGCCTGGGACAGAAAGGTCCTAACAAAGACACTAAGCAGCACCTTAAACAGTGAACAGAGCGTGGCTTTAAAACCAAGAGGCAGACCAGGGATGCAACCAAAAAAAAAAGTCAAAAAAGGTGTGATGATTTCATAGACATTAGGGGCTAAAAGGAACCTCAAGCGATCATCGGGTCCAGCCCCTCTGCCATAGGCAGGAAGTCAGCTGGGATCAAGTGACCCCAGCCAGAAATATATCCACCTGCTTTCTAAAGGAGTCTAGAGTAGGTGCTTGCACCACCTCTGCGGGGAGTTTGTTCCAGACCCTGGACACATGCACCCTGATGATTTGGGGTTCTCCCTTACTAGGTGACATTTTGTAGTGCAGCAATGTAGCTTGACTTTACCAACGGCCTGTTGTGGGTAATTGTGGACTAAACTGCTCTATGCCCTTCACAGGTTATAGGAAAGTATTCCCTCCCTCTTTTCACCCCCAAACCAACAGGATGTCAGAGGTTTTGTGGCACGATGGGTGGTATACAGAAGTAGGATCCAGGATGCTTGTGTTGGATTCTCACATCTGCTCCCAGCCCGAATGGCACTGGTCGGCATTTTCTCTCTTTGCCTCAGTTGTCAGGAGACTGACCTCCTGTGTAAAGTGCTTGGAGAGGCACTGATGAAAAAGTACTACGCAAGAGCTCAGTATCTTCGTTAGCCAGGATGCAGGGTTAAACAGCTGAAAGCAGGAGAGGTCTGTCCAATCCATCACCGGTCACCCAGTGACTTACGCAGGGCTGGAGCCATAGCTCAAAAGCAGGTGATGGGGGAACACCAAGGCCTGAAAAAGGAAGCGAATTCGAGGAGGACAGAATTTTAAAAACAACTTGTTTTCTCTCTTGTAAGCCCAGTCCTTACGATAAGGTTTCACAACCTTTCCTTGACATGCTGCAGACCCTGATAAAGAGAGAGAAACTAGTTCATCTCCAATTCCAGACACACTTCAGAATGTAGGATCAAGTTGTTCGGTGCTCCTCAGAGTGGCTTTTCTATGTTTGTTGGATTTGGGTTGGGTTTTTTTTTAAATACACCGTGCCCCACATGTCCAGTCAGGTGAACGCAACTCAGAAATGATCATCTTGAAATGTCTACTTTTTACAGAATAACAGATCACCCCTACATCCCACCTTTGTACCACAGGCAGTCCTTGCACTTACAGCAGGCTACGTTCCTGGAAAAGGTGCTGTAAGTCAAATTAACGCAAGTCAAATCTGATTTTCTCATAGAAACAACGTTATAATAGGGGGTTACATTCTTGACAGAGGGCCTGATGCTCAACTTTTTATAGAAATGACCATAAACCCCATATTTAAATCAACTATTTAATTTTATTTAACAAGAAGTTGAAGGAACACTTTCACCAGGGTCATGGAATGGGCTTCTTTGGGGAGATTTGTCCTAAAAGACTCCATTTACCTGGAATTAACTCAGAAGAAATCAATACAGCCCAATTTAGTGTCAATGTGGGTGACACCAGCTATCTGTCCATCCAGCTTTAAGATGCAAAGGGTTCTCTTAGATGAGGAAAGACGGAGGTAAGGGAGAGGAAGAAGACAGTGAATACAAGGCAGAGCTAGTGAGGTGCAAGAATAAACAAAACAAAAAAAATTTTTAAAAAGAATCCTCCTCCATGCCATCTTCCTTGAGGCAGCAGGGTTTATTAAAAATAAAGACACACCTCTTATTTGCATTGCTTCCTCTTGGCAACAACATTCAATGCTTGTATTTCTTGGGCGCTATCAAGTAAAGGCATCTCAGAATAAACCAATCCAGAGAATTAATTTCATCCTCAAACCAGAGCACCCCCTTTCCTGGTCTAACACATTTGGGTTTTAAAAAGGGACTTGGTGCCCTTCTAAGAAATGCTGCAAAAACAGCAAATTTTACACCATTATCTCATTCAGGAGACAACTCTTTGAGAACAGCTTCAGACCTTTTCCTCCTCCTTTCCATACCTGTTGCATCCATTTCCACACCCTCAGTCTCAGTGAAGGAGCAAAGCATCTCTCCCAACCATTCCTCATCTCCCTCATCCACTTCTGGCCTCAGGTCTTCATCCATGCTGCCTCATTTGGGACAGCCTCCAGGTATGTCAATACCCAGCTATTCAATGAATCATTCAAGCATCCCAACCATTCAGAGCTTACTCTGGATTTCTCATGCCTTTATCTTAACAGCTCCTTGGGGCAGGGCCTGGTTATTTAGTACAATTTTGGAGCGCTGCATATCTGAGTCATAAATAGCTTAGAGGTTGTTCCAAATTACAGATCAGAGAAGCCTGGAGCACAGGGCATGTTTTCAGATAGCCTGCCTCAGATGCATTCCAGAGGAAGGGCCAAGAAAAGCTAAGCAGATTCTCTATCTCTTGATAAATGGAGACTGGATTTCTTTCTAGAGCACTCAAGTGAGCTAAAAGTTGTGCTTTGACATGCTGGGACAATCGAAACTAAACTAGCCAAGCAAAATACAACAAGACATGCCCGGGACACTAAATTATTTCTGTTCGAGACAGAATTTCATAGCTCTGGGCTGCCATGCAAGCTGCGCGTGTTTAGACGGGGAAAAAAAAGTCATAGGAAAGTCCTCCAAAAGGATTAAGAAATGACCCACACCTTTCCTGAGTACGAGGGAACAGGATTAGATGGTAATGACATAAGATACCTCCTCTTCATGCTCCGTCATCCCAACTGCCAGCTCAGAATCAGAATTCCCTACATCGTATTGTGAAGGATGCCTGGATTCACCGTGGTGCTGAGAGCCCACAGCACAGGAGGTGAATGCAAAATGAAAGCCCACTCTGAAGATTTCTGCAAAACATGTTTTGCCCATGTAATATTCATAGCATGCTGCTCCCTCCACCTGCACCGCTTTCCCTTATCCCCATTAGTTATCAAGTGCCCTCTCATTCTCTGAGTCCTGTCCCTAAAATCCAACCCTTTAAGGAATGCCTTCTCATCAACAGCCCCCACACCTAACCTTTCCTGACATATTCTGTGGTTCAAAGTAGGACATACTCTAATGTTGTTGAACAAATAAGTGTGTATTATACTTGTGTGTCACAACAGGTGAACTTGCATTGACTGTTGTCAGACACAGCTAAGAACGCAACACAGAGACTTTGAAACAGCTGTCAATCTGTCCTGGAAAGGAGACTTCTAGAGAATATTAACCCTGCAGAACAATCAGAAAGCTGTTCAACAAGGTGAATAAAAATCAACTTTTTAAAAAAAAATTAAAAAGTTGGATTTTTTTCTATTTAAATCAGATATTTTTTATGTAATCGTATTTTTTTTGTTAAGATGCTTTTAAAAAAAACCTGTATAAAGATAGCTTTAATTTAAGATACATTAAATCTCAAAGATATCATCATGGAATAGGGATTATAGCTTCTAATCCTATACTATTTGAGATAATATATTCATGTAGCCTTTTTAGAAAAGTTTTATAAATAGGTCACAACAGGCCGTGGACTATATTAGAAGACCAATCTTACGGGGTTTCCAGAGGCTCCTCTACAGATAAGTAAAGATTAAAGAAAACCACTCGACCCAATGGGACTCTGTGCTCAGTCTAGAAGATCCCATTAAGCATCTCTGTGATGCTTAGTTTCTGTTCTCAGACTGTGGATTTGTGTCTCCAGAGATAACATCCTTGTTAACAGCAATATATGGAGATGAGAGATAACAGACCTGATCACCTACCCATCGGCCCTCTGGTCTCTCTGCAAGTTTGTGTACACAGAGTCAAGCCCTTTCCTCTCTCTAGAAATGCAAAGTTTCAAGAAGTTAAATGAATAAAGGATATCAAGCAAAAAAAAATGCACTTTTTGTAGAAAACTATTAAATTGAGGCTTTTAGATTCATAGAATCGGAAGGGACCTCAGTGGTCCATCTAGTCCAACCCCCTGCCCCTGGCAGGCAAGAAAAGAGTCACCAACCCTGGGATCATATGATTCCAGCCAGGTGCCTGTCCAATCTTCAGCCAGAGGCTTCCTGATCAGGGATTTAAATGGTGATTTAAATTAAATCCACCCTGCTGTTCAACCGCTCATTTTAACTCTGCTGGCAAAGATGCCAGTTCAGGAACAGGCCCAAGAATCCTGGCCAGAACTGGTCAATAGTGGTGTGAACTCATTGGTATGAGCTAAGGCAGGCAATTCAGCCTATACAGAAAGTTAGAAGTCTCCCCTTCAGAAAAAACCACAATTTTTTAACTCTTCTCATCATAAACCACCTGCAGCAAGACCTTTGAAGAACACGTCTGCAGTTTTAGCAGCCCACCATATAGTCAGGTTTCCAGACACCTGACAGTGAGCAGCTAGAGACGTTGAATGTGGAGCACTCGATCGCAGCACGGGGGAGAGACCGCAACAACAGAAGGAACTTAGAAGCTTTGTGGAAGTTACCCTTTACCTGGCAGGGGTGGGAGAAAGAAAAGAAAAGAAAAAAAAAAAAAAACTCAAAAGGAAGCTAGCGTACCCTTTCACAGATATCCCACTCTTGTATCAGCACTCATGTAAACCTGAGCTCTGTACAGGCAATACCTTTCTACTGGGAGATTTGCCACTCTCCCAGTAGAAGTTGGGAACATACAAGCGTTCGTTCCTTTTCTCCCATAGGAAACATGGCTCCTCCAGGCTGACCTTGAAAGAGCTCTTCTGTGAGAAACAGTCTCCTGCAAGAGTCAACACATGTACACTGCTCACCTCTTCCATGACTAGGTGTCAAGCAGCAGCTTCCCCTGAGCCTTCCCCGGACTGGGGGACTTCAGGCTGAGGAAGGTG